AAAGTTTGAAAAACACTGGTCTATATAATCATGGGATTTTTGCACATTATTTGGTCACAAAACCATGGGTATCAGTCATGAGAAAATCCTACCGTCCTACTTGAAACTGGATAGGAGTTTCATAATTATCTTGAGAAGTATAAAGCAGCTTATTCATATGGCGGACTGTGCCCGGTTACCAGTTCATGATGGGTATGGGAATAGGTAATTAACGAGTTGTTTCAGAAGGTGGAGAAAGCAGTATCCAACCAGCGGTTATGTGAACCACCCTACATGGCAGGGAGTCCAGCGATCCTCCCACACTCAATCATCCTCCGTGGTATTCGAACCTACGACCCCACTGAGGTTTCTTGATTTCAGCAAAAGCAGCAAATTTCAGGTGTAATGGTGAGTATTGGTGACTCACAGATTCAAAAACACATGGGCCTATGTGAGTGTAACAGTAAACAAAAAACCAATACTAACCTTTGGGTTTGATATGATCATTTCTTTTTTCCACATGCTTGATCTGTTCGAATCTAGACTGTTCCTACGATTAAAAACAATTGATTGAAAATAAACAGATAGACACAATAGTTTACTTCTATTAAAAAATATACTAGAAACCAATGAGTATTTAGCAAAAATAGAGCAACGACATAGGCTGGTCATGTGGTACTGTGCCAATGTTCAATATGGAAAAATAAAATAACATCAGGTCAGTGCAAAAAGGATTACAAATGTCAGAAATGTTTGAATATTCCAGCACACTTGAGAGATCTCACAAGATTACTAAATGAAACGATCGACCTGTGGTCAAATTTACTCTTGATTGTTAAGCAATAAGCAGATTTCATGTACGAGAAGACAGTAAACCGACACAAAAATTTAACTTCTTACCAACTCAAATATGTTAGACCCAATTTCAATAATATACCTTTTGTCTTTCAGCATTTTTATCATACTTGTCATATTTCTGTTTGCTGTCGGCATTATGGTCTTTGCTTTTAGCTCTGAATTCTTCTACTGCTGGTTGCTGATTCTTCAAATTCATTCTTTCTTCATTTATATTTATATTCTATAAAAAACAAAATAAGTCGAGAAATATTTAATGGGCATTGTTTCATCTTGTAATAAACAACATGAACCCAGGACATTTGTAAATCAAGAGGTAGTCAATATCAAGACTATCTTTGATAGATCCATTGCTAGTGTTACACGCGGCTTGCATTCTGGGCTTTACATAGTTTGAAAAAAAAATGTGCCAATAAATATGTATTACAGTAATACTAAAAAACTAATAACTATTACCGAAACTATGCTGAATATGCTTGATATTTCTGCATTTCCCCCCAAAAACCTTAAAAAATGTCTCTCTGGAAAGAAATTTCCCCCTGGCTTGGAAACGCCGACTAAGATAGATGACTTTGCTGAGACTTTCTTGAGACAGTGGATCAATGTTATGATAAAGAAAACCTAATTTATATAAGTCAGGAAATTGTCACCCACCTTTTGAGGCTGTTTCATTTCCTGTCCCTTGTGCCTCATATGTGTACAAGGCCGATGGACAGTCCCACCAAATTGTAAGTCTTGTTTTGAAACATGGTAAGGAGTTGATAGTCCTGTCCCCCAGCTTACGGTAGATCTAGAATCAGGGGTCTGCAGTCGTTGATTTGTTTTGACTGGATTCTTCACTTGGTTATTTGATTCTGGTATATCTGTTCCAAGATGACCCAGGTTCAAAGCAGGAACACTGAAATAAAAATAATATTTATTAATAGCACACTCAGACTCCAATACTTATATCCCCATTTTTAATAAGAATTATACTAATGCAGAGTTATATCATACACTCTTACGCGAAAAAAATACTTGAAATATTAATGACAATTTTCTTTTTATACAATGAAATTTGGACTGAAATGACAAAAAAGTATAAACAATTTTTTTTAGCTATAGCTATCTGTGAAACACTATCTCTAACTATTGTAATGCAGGAGTCAAAGATCAAAAGAAGTTTTTCGTCCATCCACAAAAACACCAACAAAAAATTATGTACAATGACGTACCTTTCTGGTCTATCATGAGATCTGTATGCGGCCATAACTAACTTAACATTTTAAACACCTATGAGTGATGAACATGAAATAAAGTTTAACAACATGATTCGCACCAACTCAAGAATAAAACCACGAAAGATATCAGTTATAATTACCAAAATAAGTGACAAATATGTTTATTTACATGCATCACTAAACCAATTTTACTGAGAGCACAAGATTTAAAAGTTGTACAATAAAAAGAGCATAACAAGCAGAAAATGAAAATAACTAAGAACAATATACCAGAGCCATATAACAGTGAAGTTCTGTTGCAGATTAACAAAGACCAAATCTGGCATAAATCAACTTTATACTATAGCAATAGATATCTTCGCTGTATATTCTTAATGAATTGTCTACTGATTACTGAATTTGATAATAATTCACTGATTAATCCAGAATCATATTTGCGAGAGAAACTTGCTAAAATATAAATCACAGTATTTGTGATCATAAAAAAATTGTCTATCCCAAAACATTTTCGTAAAACCAAAATTTTTTAAAGCTAATTATTTTTAAATCAATATTTGTTTATTGTTTCGGATTGTTTTACTGTCAAGATGCACCGTTGCGCTGTTGCTATCCATTCTTTAGATCAAGTATATCTCACATTAGGAGTTTATGTCCTTTAATTCATTGATAATATAGTTCCAAGTTCATTCCATCATGTATCTCATAATCACCTAATGTAATGTGATCTTTGAAAATAGTATACCACTTCTTCAAGACAATTTTATCCGATCTTGTACCAGTTTGAGCTGCAATTAATTTCTTTAGATCACCAACTGTATCATCAGAATTGCATTTTACTCGAACCTTTTTCCCCAGTCGATCATTACATGTTATTTCAATCATAATTTCAGTTTTTAGAATAACCTTTTATCTGCAACCTGAAAATTATTAACAACAATAAATAATTACAAAATATTTATATGATTTGTTCAAAACTTACAGACAATCAACGATTATAGGCTAATTGTAAAAGATCATATCAACTTTCATTACTTTGATTTATTCAGCTCCTGTAGTTGGAACAGAAGTACTTTTTTTATAAACATGTGAATACAGCCAAAACTGATTTGTTCGAAAAGCAATTTTTACAAAATAATGTAAACACCAATAACGAAAAAACGAAAACAAAATATGCAAAAAAAACATAAAAACCTTTTTAATCTTTTTAAGATCAATAAATATTTTTGTCATCCCACGAGTTATATGTATTATTAATAATATTTGCTAAGCCAATTAAACAAGATATAGGTGTTAACAGTAGCAGTCTTTCATTTATTATGCAAAATTATCTTAGGTTAATATGCCATAGATTATGGCAAACTATTATAGAAATTATTGAAAAGCGCTGACAACCAATTTGAGTGTCAGAGCACCACAATATGTTTTTTATAGCTTTTCTTATTCTCAGGACAAAAGTGCAATTTTATTCTATCCAAATCACTCTCTAATAATCAGCAATATAAATCACAGTATTACAAGTCAAAGATCCGAATATCAATTAGTATAAGAAATCTGCAAAATACAGGGTGATTGAAAGGTAACTCCCTATTTTAAAAAAACTATAGTTTATTTTTAAAATATAATTTCTACAATTAATGAATATGAGAAGGAAGTATAATGCATGGGCTTATTGAAAAGTAACTCCCTATTTTAAAAAAACTATAGTTTATTTTTAAAATATAATTTCTACAATTAATGAATATGAGAAGGAAGTATAATGCATGGGCTTTTATTTAAAATTCAATATGGGCGCCTTTATTTGCCACCAGCTTCTCAAGTCGACCAGGAATCGCATCAACTGATTTCGCAAGAAACGCAGGGTGTTAAGTCAGGACTTCTGGCAGGCCATTCGTGCGAACCGCGACGACCCATCCATCTTCCAGGAAATTGAGCATTTAGCCATTCACGAACAACAATAGCAAAGTGTGGAGGAGCTCCATCTTGCATGAAAATCAAATCTTCAATATTTTCCCAAGCACTGATAATTGGCCAAATTTCATCTTTCAACATAGCGAGGTACCTTTCGGCATTCATGGTATCGCGAAGAATGAAGGGACCCACAATCCTATCAAAAGTAATTCCACACCATACCGTTACTTTGGATCGATTTTGCATTTTTTCACAGGTAACACGAGGATCTTCTTCCGCCCAGTAGTGGCAGTTATGACGGTTCACAAATCCACCTATGTGGAATACAGCTTCATCACTCCATAGAATATTTTTAAAAAGGTTGGGCCAATCTCTAAACCAAGCCAACATTATTTCACCAAACTCCATACGAATGTCAAAGTCTTCTGCAGAGAGTGCTTGACAGTAATGCGGCTTCCAAGCACGCCATTTAAGCTCGTTTTTTAGCACATTACGTACACAATGAAAGGAGAGCCCACTTTCTCTTGTTGCTTGACGAATTGACTTATGTGGGCTACGGGTAAACATTTCTTTAACAACTTGCACTACCTCAGGATCTCTGGATTTGAAAGGACGACCGCTTCTTTGAGTATCAGCCACAGATCCTGTGGTCATAAGTTTTTTATGACAATTCTTGATCGTCTTCGGGTCAATTTGGGCATGTTTTCCCTTAATAGTTCTCCACCATCTTTGCACTTGAACAATGCATCCCCAAACTTCATAACGCGCGGCTATCTGGGCACGTTCCTGTAGAGTAAGACGTCCAGCCATTTTTGTAGGGTTTTGAAATAAAATAAATTTGAAAATTTCTCATATTCATTAATTGTAGAAATTATATTTTAAAAATAAACTATAGTTTTTTTAAAATAGGGAGTTACTTTTCAATAAGCCCATGCATTATACTTCCTTCTCATATTCATTAATTGTAGAAATTATATTTTAAAAATAAACTATAGTTTTTTTAAAATAGGGAGTTACCTTTCAATCACCCTGTATATTCGATTCAGATAATTGTGTTAGCAATTCCATTTAGTTTAATAGTCAAGAATGAAAAAAATTACATAGATGATAAATAATCTACATTTCAAATTTTTCTAACAGTGGAATTAAAAATTCAGGTATTGAGGCTAGTTATGTTCCGAGAGTTTCAAGTCAAAAAAGGTCAAATGTCAAAATTTTCATTCGAAACTATTTCAAAACAATGGGTGCAATTTAAGCCAGAATTCAATGTTTAATAAAAGCATCTCAATAAATTTACAGTTTGATCGAAAATACAATTTTCGCTATTTTCTTAAAACAGCTTTTTGAATATTCATCCTTTTGGCTCAAGGCCCTCGGTATGGAATAAATATATACTTATTATGATATATCCACTGGTCACAAAGATGGAATAATATTATATGTACATATCAAATTGAGGTCATATGATTCACATGAAATTTGATAAGCTTTTCCACAATTTTCTGTTCAATATTAACTTTTGCATGAGTTTCCTCTTCTGATAACCGAATGACAATATTTTCTAATTCTGTTAGTATTTTGACAGTGTTATAACGATCATGCAATGTATTTGCTACAACAGCTTCATGGCGATATTTTATGAGAGCCGATTTCGCTTTATGATCGAGTATTTCTGGATCAGTCTCCAGTTTAAAAGTAACAACATAAGCATCTGGGGCCCAGGATTCAACCAATTTTCCAAGCATCTTCGGGACGGGGCTCAATTTCAGATTAATCAACTTATCTGAAGATTGTATTTTGTGAACTTGAGTATCACTATTAGAAACGAAAAAATCTGACACAGCAGCAGCAAGATAAATCATTGCTCTTTTTTCTATGGGCTTTAATGCATTACAAATTGCATGCGTATAATGCATATATTCTGAAAGGCTTGTATATTTAATTGTAAGTATATTATTTTTCAGCAATTCATAATGTTTCAGGGAGTCTTTCAAATCTTTTGGGAAATTTTCTGCTATATTGACACAATCATTAGCAATTGTGAATATATCCATCAATCTTTTACTTTTTTCATCTAAATAATCAACAAATTTTCTTTCAAAAGGAAAGGAAGATCCATTTCTGTGAAGATATATAACATTGTAATCTGCAAGCAAAAAATTTTCCGCTGAAATTGCTCCTCTGCGTCCAGTACTAAAATTCTCTATACATCGCACTGTATTTTGCTCCAATGGAACCGATGTGCCTCCAGCAGTAATCAAAACTAAGTTTCGGTTTTCAGACAAAGTTTTTTGAACAAATTCAATGCTTTTAAAAACAACATCTTCCAAGTTTCCAGGAGTTGAAAATTGTTGAAGATTATCTTGAACAGTTAAAGTTGCCATATACCATATATATGCTGCAATACCAGAATACAGATTATAAGCTGTTTAATTTTTTTGGGGATGGATGTTGAATGTGGCTAATCAGTAAGTTCTGAAGCAAACAGCCAGACAGCATTATTCTCCTATTGCTGTATTGCGGTATTGGTCTTGACGTTGAAAAACTAAGATTCCCAAGTTGGGCGCATGTTCACTAAACGCCATAAGTGGAGTGAAACTGACGTTTTTGCATAAGTTATTCCTAACCCCCACCTGACTGCCTGACTACATCATCCAAAAATGACATCACAACCACGTCTTAGAGCTTGCCAAGGAAACGCTACAATCACCCGAAATGTCATCTTTGCCAACGATAACGAACTCGCGATCTCTCTCATATCCCAGTATCCATAATATCGGGATCGTTAAGCCGAGAAATAGCTTGCTTGATTTCAGGTGATCGTCTGCGCATTTTGGACGCAAATCCGTACACTTTAACGGGCCTTATTTCGCCACTGTGACGCTGTAATTTTTGGATGCCGTATACAGGTGGTGGTTAGAAAATGGTACTGCCAACTAGTCTACTGACAGACTGAACTACTAGTAGGATAGGATTTACATATTTATCCTGGGGGAGAGGAAAGCCGATAAGACAGCTTATCCATATGGCGAACCACGGCCTCTCGTCCTGTTACCATTCCAAGTCGGGTATGGGATTAGTTATATTGTTTGTTTTCGGAAGCATGGACTTCTGGACTTGGTGGTGGAGGAAGCCGTAACTGACCAGCGGTTACGTGAACCACCCAACGACGGCGAGGAGTCCAGCATTCCTCTCGCACATAACCATCTCCGCATGGGATTCGAACCTGCGAACCCATGCAGAGTAATTAGAAGTGCGGTGGCGAGCGTATTTCTAACGCTTAGACCGTTGAGCCACACCGCCGCGCCGTACCCTACTTGACGGCGTTTAGTGAACTAGCCCCCCCTGTCTGCAAGTTGAAATAACGCTACCATAACAGCATACCGGTAATGCTGTAATGGCACAAAAAGTTTATCTGAAACTTTTACATAGAAATACTGAAATAGTTTATTCGGGTCTTACTACTTCTTACTGAATACACCGCAAAGAACGCAAAACAGAGGAAAACAGCGCGAAACAGAAGGAAACCAGCGCAAAACAGGAGACGCAGTCATTACCACCTCCTGCCACGAAAGAACTACGGCGCCTCTGGCCATGGTTGTATGGCGCTATTTCCGGCATATTTACAAGGTTATGTACCGGATTATAGGTCAGTAGGTCATCATGCGAAATTTTATCTATCTTTTTGGTGCTCCAGAAGTATGTGCAGCAATATGTCACACAACCTGAATCCGTTACACACACACATACTATTTTCAGGTTGTGCACCATCTTGGTGCACACCAAAGTTACCCTAGCAGACATCTCTCAGCGGACATCTCTCTCGTTTTCGGAACGGTAAAATAGCGTTGCCAGAAAACGATTTAACATGGCACTCAAATGCCGCATCGGAAAAAAGGAAAGCTAGTTGCAAAGTACTTGCCAGATTTACGGCGAAATTTTGCTACACTCGGAATTACACAAAACTTATCTGTAATTTCCGATGGCCGGGCAGATTTTTGAAGATGATATAAAAAAAGAACTTATATTGAAGTCATCCTAATTCAAGTTTTATGAAATTTATATGTTGGGAACATATAATATTACATTGTCAAACATGGCCAAAAAAGAAATTTCACATTAAAATTAATAAATGTCGGCATTTTAACCCAAATTTTGTACTTTTCGATTAGGTGCCCCACTTTTAGATAAGATATCTCAAAACAAAATATTGTGAAGTCATTTGGAACCAAGTTTCAGAAAAATTGTATGTCGGGGAACATATAATAATATTCTTGTTAAACATGGCCCAAACAGGAATTTTACATCAAAATTAGTAAATATCGGCATTTTAACCAAAATTTCGTACTATTTGATTACGTGCCCCACTTTCAGATAAGATATTTCAAAAAATCATACTGTGAAGTCATCTCGAACCAAGTTCCAGAAAAATTGTATGTCGGGAACATATATTATTATCTTGTTAAACATGGCCCAAACAGGAATTTTACATAAAAATTAGTGAATATCGGCATTTTAACCCAAAATTTTGATCTTTTCGATTACGTGCCCCACTTTTGAATAAAATATCCTAGAAGAACATATTGTGAAGTAACCTCGAACCAAGTTTGAGAAAAATTGTATGTCGGGAACATATAATAATATCCTGTTAAACATGGCCCAAACAGGAATTTTACATCAAAATTAATAAATATCAGTATTTCAACCCCAAATTTTGTACTTTTCGATTACGTGCCCCACTTTTGAATAAAATATCCTAGAAGAACATATTGTGAAGTAACCTCGAACCAAGTTTTAGAAAAATTGTATGTCGGGAACATATATTAATATATTGTTAAACATGGCCCAAACAGGAATTTTACATCAAATTTAGTGAATATCGGCATTTTAACCCAAAATTTTGGACTTTTCGATTACGTGCCCCACTTTTGAATAAAATATCCTAGAAGAACATATTGTGAAGTAACCTCGAACCAAGTTTAAGAAAAATTGTATGTCGGGAACATATAATAATATCTTGTTAAACATGGCCCAAACAGGAATTTTACATCAAAAGTAATAAATATCAGTATTTCAACCCCAAATTTTGTACTTTTCGATTACGTGCCCCACTTTTGAATAAAATATCCTAGAAGAACATATTGTGAAGTAACCTCGAACCAAGTTTGAGAAAAATTGTATGTCGGGAACATATATTAATATCTTGTTGAACATGGCCCAAACAGGAATTTTACATCAAAATTAGTGAATATCGGCATTTTAACCCAAAATTTTGGACTTTTCGATTACGTGCCCCACTTTTGAATAAAATATCCTAGAAGAACATATTGTGAAGTAACCTCGAACCAAGTTTGAGAAAAATTGTATGTCGGGAACATATAATAATATCTTGTTAAACATGGCCCCAAACAGGAATTTTACATCAAAAGTAATAAATATCAGTATTTCAACCCCAAATTTTGTACTTTTCGATTACGTGCCCTACTTTGAATAAAATATCCTAGAAGAACATATTGTGAAGTAACCTCGAACCAAGTTTGAGAAAATTGTATGTCGGGAACATATATTAATATCTTGTTAAACATGGCACAAACAGGAATTTTACATCAAAATTAGTGAATATCGGCATTTTAACCCAAAATTTTGTACTTTTCGATTACGTGCTCCACTTTTGAATAAAATATCCTAGAAGAACATATTGTGAAGTAACCCCAAACCAAGTTTGAGAAAAATTGTATGTCGGGAACATATATTAATATCTTGTTAAACTTGGCCCAAACAGGAATTTTACATCAAAATTAGTGAATATCGGCATTTTAACCCAAAATTTTGGACTTTTCGATTACGTGCCCCACTTTTGAATAAAATATCCTAGAAGAACATATTGTGAAGTAACCTCGAACCAAGTTTGGGAAAAATTGTATGTCGGGAACATATAATAATATCTTGTTAAACATGGCCCAAACAGGAATTTTACATCAAAATTAATAAATATCAGTATTTCAACCCCAAATTTTGTACTTTTCGATTACGTGCCCCACTTTTGAATAAAATATCCTAGAAGAACATATTGTGAAGTAACCTCGAACCAAGTTTGAGAAAAATTGTATGTCGGGAACATATAATAATATCTTGTCAAACAGGAATGCTTGTCATCCTAATGCCAAATCAAACCATATCATTTTAACATAATTGGGCATCGTTTTATGCTTGTTCAGTAGTAGCTTGAAAGGCGATGCATTAAGATATGTCATGCGTAACATTACCATTGTTATGTAACTGAGTAAGGTCTACTGTTACGTAATAATCATAAGATTTGTGAGCATGCCGTATTTGGCAGTTGACATTCTTTCCTGAGGAGCCTTCACCGAATCTACTACGGTATTTCGGTCAACTACTGAGGTAAGTATCCTTTATTGTGATTAACATTCGTAACATAGATTACAGGTGAACATGAGGGGATTCCGAACACGACCCGTCGCTTATCCAAGAGGAGCTGCCACTGCGAGTGGTAAGCAAACCGCGTACCTCCGCAGTCCAAAAGATCAACATCGTCCACACCTTCTCCTACTGTCGGACAGCAATATACGGAACATCACATTTCCGAAGGTGAGCTGGGTTTAATGGATTATAGGCTTTAACCTATCTTCTCTATTTGTTACAGCGAGGTGACTTATTATAATAGTAATTTTCTATCCCAAGGGTGAACCCCCAACCGCCCTATAATTGAATATAATAGCATATATAGAAAGTGACGCATGTATCAGTACTAGTGTACCAGAGGTCTACAAATAGGTCTATCACAAATAGCAAAACATTTACCACTCCCCAAATATGAATTTGCTCCTTCACCACACCCAAACGTTAATGGAATGTTTAATATTTATGTAATAGTAAAGTTGTACCCTACGTTAATAACTGCGATTTCAATACAGGTTGTTTCTCCGTCGCCTTCATCTCCGTTCTCACTATCGTCTATTTGTTTGCCCGGCGGGCAATTACGACATGGTGTGGCGGAGATTTTGGGGACGGAGGCGTTCCCCGACGTCGACTACCTCTTGTTGGCTCTGGGGACCAACGACGTTGCAGGATCTGGTGGCTGGGGCAAACAATCCCGAGAATACGCCGAGAAGCTGATTGGAGCGAGTCAGCAGGCTTATCCGGGAGTCAAGGTTTGTTTTAGAAGTATATATATCTACTCATTATCTAGTCCATATATATTTCTGTAGATATGTAAATAATTCAAGCATCAACAAAGTGCACCCAAGATTGTTTTTGGATGTTCATGTTGTTGAAAGAATTGCCTATCTCGGCAACTAATGGACTTTCCAACTTCAGTAGGCCTTCTTGAATATTAAAAAACACATTTTATTACGTTTTTCTCGACCATTAGACTATTAATTGCT